CTTTCTATCAAAAGTTATTCAAAAGACAGCCATATACCATTCTTTTTTTGGATGGACAATACCTATTATAAGAAAAGGTTTTTAATAAATGTGATTCGTTTCCATGCTTTATTATACCTGTGTGGAGATACAATACCTTAATAACTATAACTATTGTCCATCTAAAAGAAGAATCAAAAACCTGCATAGAATGATATATAATTCGATGTGTTTCGAGAAAAAAGTTTTCGTCCAAAAGTTTAGGCAAAACACTTAAGGAGGGCTATTAACTATTTTTCTATAACATATATAAAAAAAAGGTTTCTCGACATGCCCGATCCAAATATCACGGTCTCTCCGCTGGAATCGTTGCGGATAAAAAATGGGTAGTTTTTATATGGTACCAGTCAAAAGGAGGGAGCCCTATAAAAAAAATTCCAGTGCGGCACTGCTAGTGCGCACCGATGAACATTGGCACGACAAGTGCCGATTAGCACCAGTACCGATATATTTCTGCCCAAAAAGTGCCGCACTGAAATTTATTTAATCAATTTAATTAGTTTTTTATTATACTTGTTTATGCTGAATTTTATATTAGAATACGGCACAGGTCAGTACCACATTGACATCCCAAAACCATGCGGAATTGCCTGGGCACTTCTTTTATGAGAAGGAAAAGATGAAGTCAGAAAGACATTCGAAATATTAGAAGTAGACTGTGGTGTTAATATACACAGAAATTGACAAAACAAAATGGTGATTGAAAACAAAACTTTGGGACTGGTACGCACCGGTGCACGATTTTTACATACTTTCTGGGCACCGATGCCCAGAAAATTTGGCATCGGTGCGCACCCATGCACAACCATGCCAATAAAATATTTTTTTGTAGGGAGAATATATACGGCCATTTTCCTCCCCCACGGTATTTTTGAAAAAAGAATATATATTTCGAATTAGCATCGAATTCTGAACAAAATGATGTATGTGGTGTACTAAAACGTCGACTTTCAATTTTTTTCAAAAACTTTTCACCCCTATGACCGACCATCCTTTTATAAGATCGAAAAATATTTTTTCTCAGAGTTCGTTGAAAGATACACCATTCGATGCAGAATTTGACGCTAATTATAAATATCAGGTCAAAAATTGAAGACAACTGGATCTCGATGGAGAAAATTGGGTTTTATGTGTAGATGGTTTTGGTGCCCTAATTGAACAAATGTTGTTCTCCCCCTCATAATGAGATCTGATATCTTCCAAAGCCAGCTAGATATATATTCAGAAGCATGTTAGCTTTCTGAATATCATATTGAAAATGTTTTAAATGGCGATTTTCGTTGTGAAAAGCCGTCTTAACGTCGAAAAGCCTTAAAAAAAACGTTTTTCAATAATCCGAGGGGGTCATGGCGGCAAACAAATTAAAGTCGATTTTGTAAACTACATACAGCATTTTGTTCAGAATTCAATGCTGATTCCGAATATATATATTTTCTTCAAAAATATTGGGGGACGGAAAATGGTCTTATCCGCCTTCCTCCTTCGTAAAAGACAGAAAAAAATCCTCGTGATTTAAAGTATCCTTCCGTGCAAGCCGGGTGCCTCTATGGACTTTATAACGTTTTTCATATACATGATGTGATAGTAATTCAGATGTGGTTGTGTTCAGAGATAATTAGGGTATAAAATGATGCATACATGAATTTATTTATCAAGTCATCGTTTTCATGAGAGCATCATAGTACTGCTTAGGTTCAGAAGTTCAATAGTATGCATCATTTTATACCCTAATTATCTCTGAACACAACCACATCTGAATTACTATCATAACATGTATACGAAAAACGTAATAAAGATTTTACCAATGACTTGGGCAAAATGGCTTGTCCAGGTCTGTTTTAGATATAGTTGTGAAGAAACTTTTAGCCCATCCAATAGCCGTAATTATTCCACTATTTATATAAATGAGTATAAAAGAACAAATATTTCAAAAGGAGACACTCATACACAATACATCTGAATATAATTTAATGCACCGGTATTAAATAAAATAGAAAAGTTTAATGATAATAATATTTATCACAAAACTATTGAGCGCTGTGTTTTTAATCAAACAACAACTTCATAGAATAGCTTTTTCATTCGATTTGGAGTGGAGGATGCACTATCTGTTCCTCCAGCACCATTGTTATCAATCATTATGGCAGATGATGGCGATCGAAAATTCGTTAGAATCGAGTGTGAACTTTGGTCCACGTTAATATTATTTAGTTTCGTATTTGTTAAAGTTCTCGATGTTTGTGACGGAAAACCGTAATGTGATATTTCTGCTTGACGTACTATTTCAGTATCTGAAAATATTGGTAACATCATTGTATTTTGTGTTAAACAACTAAATTCCGATGATGGATTAGAACCAGAACGTGAATCAGTACCACTATTTTTCGACTCAGCTAACCAGTGAGGTGATGAACGAATTGTTCCTGATAAATTGTGGCGTGATTTTGTTGTGCCATCTAAAATTAGAATAGTGCTTGTTTCCTTATAGTTAGCCATGTCTAATAAAACGTTTCTTACAAGAATCAAATGTATCGTGTACAGATAATTCGTCTTTCACTCTTTCCCGTTCAGTATCACCTATAGTATCGAAAAACAATGATCAACATAAATATTTTTGGCTATAATATTTCATACTTACGAGAATTATTTGCTCCTCTTTCGATATTAGTAGTTTTATCATATTGATAATTATTCAGTTGATATGGTACACTATTACTGTATAATAGATACGGATTTTGTAACGGTTCGGAAACGGTTCTATGAATAAAAAAATCACCTTAGATTTAACTATATAACAAATATATTCAGAAAATACGTACGGTTTTGTTGATTTTATTGTGTCGTTTTGATCTATAACATAAAAGAACCAGGTTAATGCATCTAATTTGTTTTAGTTCAATCTTTCTCACATTTTGATGATTTTCGTCGTCTGTAACACAAAATTCCCATTAGAGTTAAAATTACTAGCACAAGAAATACGGCTGTAACAACAATGCCAATAATCATCGCCACCGATGTTCGATCACGCTCATCTAGAATTGAAAATTAAAAAGATATAGTTAAATTTTTCTAAGTAGATATCTATCACCACTTACCATGTTTCATCTCCATACTATTTCCACAAAGCGTTATTTTTTTACGTAGACAAACGGCTAGTTTCAAATGTGAATAATCTTTGGTCATAATATAGTTGACTCGATTGTGTACAATGTCCAAACAAGATGAATGTAAATTTCTCGTATCAAATGCTTTCCCATCATTTGATTGATTTATACGCAAACATAACTGCTTTTCCGATATATGATAACCAGGATAATAATCGAATTGAAGAAATTTTCGTGTCGAATCATAAGATAGTGAGCGTAACGATGGAAGATCTTAAATAAAGAAAATCATCTGACATGATACAATCGTTGAAAATATTTTGACACTTAACTACTTATGAAATCGATCACTAAGATTGAATCAAACTCTCAATACATTACCGTCTGCTGAAATCACTAAATCACTGGTTTTGACAATCATTTGTGGACTCCATTCACTTGCACCATACGAATTCTTAGATTTTATACGAAAAATATATGTTGTAGAATCGTTCAAGCCTTTTAAAGAAGAAAGAAAAATAAAGTACAAGAATGTTAGTGTTATTTGTCGGTTGCTCACCATCAACAGTGTATTCAAATGTATTATTCAGTACGTTCGATAAACTGTTATTGATTTGTAAAATGAAAGATTGTTCATCACCACCATCAAATCCTGGTTTAAAGCGAATTTGAAATGATGAATAAGTAATTTTTTCGATTTGTATGTCATTTGGCGGTTCAGGTTTTCCTGTAACAGATTGTTAAACGATGACTACTTGTATTTTAATTTATTCTATCTTACCTTTGGAAACAAGAGTGTATGTCCATTCTTCTTTTCCAAGTAAATTTTCTGCTATACACTTATAATCACCAAAATCTTTTGTTGTCACATGATTTAAATTGAGTATACAACATTCATTTGTATTCTCTTCGCAATTTAATACTTTTTCATTGTATTTCCAAATAATAGATGGTGTTGGTTGTCCTTTTACTGAACAAACTAATTTAACTGATTGTCCGACTTCAGCAGCTATTTTTGAATACGTTGTTTCCATTACTGGTCGACTATAGACAATTAATTCAATTACAGCACTGCCATTCGCGTTAAAATAATGTTTATTATTGTTATTATTATTTAGTAACATTTTGTTAATTACTAGACAAGTGTAGTTTCCGGTATCATTTCGTTCAACACGTTCAATTTGATATTCGATTTTGTCATTATTAAAAACTTTTTGATGATTAATTTCTATTTTATCTTTATACCAAATAATCTCATAAGGATTTGGATATGATTTGGCCGAACAACGTAGAATAACTTGATCAGAACGATTTACTTTTAATATTTTATCGATCGATTGAACACGTGGGGCATCTAGAAGAGAAAATATTCTAATCAATAACTGCAATATATACACACATATATAATAGATAAATACTAACATTGAACCACAATATAAATCGATCGATGTACTTTTCCAAGAATATTTTCTGCCACACAGGTATAATTGCCACTTTGTTCAGAATTTAAGTGATGAAAATAAAGAATTTCTTCACCTGTATATAGAATTTAGTAATTAAAAATTGTACGTAATAATTGAGATATAGACTTACGACTGATTATTGATGTATTATTCAATATCCAATAGATGGTTGTTGGATTTGGATTTGCATCTACCTGACACATAAATTGTTCATCCAAATGTTCCATAGTCATTACTCTGTCTGTTACTGATTGTATGAGACTTCTATTTGATATTATATTTACATATGGCAAATCTAAACACATATTTCCATATACCACACATACGTATATAAATATATATATGTTAATTATTTAATATCGCACGCTTACATTTAACGAATAAACGTTGTTCAACACGAAGTGGAGATGACAATGCTGGATTCCATATTTCACACTCAAATTTGACACCATTGTCTTTTCGTGTCACATTCAACGTTAAAATAGAACCATTTTCAACATTTCTCATTAATGAACTATAAAACAATTGTAATAAAAATAAAAAAAAGAATCACTTAAAAAAGCTATTGAAACATTGCTTAAAGGTATAAATAAAAAGAATTATTGTACCTTGATCCAATTGGCATATTATCACGATACCAATTAAATGTAGGCAATGGATTTCCATTAATTGCAGAACATTTTAAATTGACACTGTTATATTCTTGAATATCGTTTGCCTCGACGGTTAATAATGGAGATTCTGGTTTGACTATGAATGAGAAAAAAGATCATGTCATTTTACATCATTTACCTTTCTAAATGGGTACTTTTTTTCTCAAGCCGATTTTATATTTCAAATTGATTTTGTAATATCAGTTTGACTTTGAAATATTACAAGACAATATGATTTTTTTCTGTTTTTACTGTCATTTTCTCTCTAATGCTATAGAATTATACGTCACTAGTGAGAATAAACTGCAAAAATTGATTAGAAAAACAGATATAAGAAAATCTTAGTTCAATTTTTCTCAGTATTTTAATTCCATCGACTTGACATTTTTCACTTAAAATTTGTATTAAGTATAATAGCTGAAAACCATATTTTTAATGATTTGGTGTTTGCGTCACATTCAAGGTTTTATATTCATATAATAAACACTCTAAAGCATATAGTTAAGCTGTTCAATTTTTTTCTGTAATTGGATTTCATTATTCTTAATTTTCTAGTATAACTGATACTTTATACATATACATAAACATCTCTAATTGCTGTATATGTCTGTGCTAAAAAGATTAACATCAATTTTTTTTTGACTCTATATAGGATGCCTTAAAGGTGTAAGAAAATAATGCACATGATTACGTAAAAGTGGGAGAGGGGGGAGGCGTAAAGAAAAAGTAATTACTGTAACGTCCGTGCGATCAGTTGTCAGCAGCTCACAATAAATTATTCTTATTCTACTGATAAAGGACACATGTCTATAGAGACGATTAAATTCCACGCGTTCATTCTATAGATCTATCACATTCACTTATCTATTCTATTGCCTTTAGAGAGAAAGAAAGAGAGAGAGAGAGAGAGTCTCATCATCGTATCGTCATAATAGAAATATTTCAAGATAACAATCATAGGAAGGAAAACGATTGCAGGTGTTTACATGTACACTTACTTAATACAACTAAATTATATTGACATAATATTATTTGTGTTTCAAATGTCATACACGTATAAGTGGTAGAATCTGTACGTTCTACATTAAATAATTCTAAATAACTCCATTCTAAATTTAATTCAGTTTGATAATATTTTTGATATGATTTTGGTATTTTTCCATTAATAGCAATAGTTATATCTTCGGACATTTTTTTATTCCATTGAATAATAGTATTATCATGTTGATCAGCTGGTATTGGACAACGTAATCGGATTCGTTGACCAGCGGTAACCGTCATGTTTTCTATATGTGTACATGTTACTAGAATACGAAAGATATTCAATGTTAAACATGATATCATGCAGAGAGATGTTATGCAATGATATTAGTCGTATTATCATTAATGATCCAGAAAATTGTTGATTGCCAGAACAAAATAGGACTAATGTACACAAAAATAGTAGATCATCCCTTATCTCAAACAAATCTTAAAAGCGAGAATAAGGCATATTTTCAAAATTTAATTTAAAAATTAGAAATATTATCTCCAAATTTTACCTGTTCAAATTTTTCGTTAGAAATCATGCAAATTATTATATTTTTTCCCTATCAAGTTTACTCTCTGATAATTAAATATCTTTTTTTATAAAATTTTATGTTATACATACTCTGATTTATTAATGAGATGATGAACATTAATATAGTGATCAACAACAACAACATTGCCCTATTCTGTTCTTCTTTGTTGCTTTATGTGTGTGTGTGTGTGTGTGTGACTATATCTCTGTTAAACGTATATATATATATTTTTGTCACCTTTCAGCACTTGTTCTATGTTATTATTAATGCTAATTGTTTAAAATAGTCAAATGTTGTGTTTTTGTAGAAACAACTATTCTTCGACGTTTAATGCACATATATACATACAGACTACATTGAATGAAACGACGATTTGTCACTTTTTCTTCTTCTTCTATTGTATCGAACGATACAGGTTTCACTCAAACAATGGTTTGAATCTTATTGGAAATATTCTCTTTTCTAATACAAATAACATATACACACTGACTTCCCAATCTAGTCTAGAGATATCAAACGAATAAAATGAAAAAAAAAGGTGGTTATGACATGAACGATCGATATATGAACGACAGAAAAAAACAGAATGAGAAAAAATACATTCTATGTACAATTTGTTACAAATCTCTCTCTCCCTCTCTCTCTCTCTCTTTCTCTTTTTTTTTCATATTCACCATAGCTCCCATTGAGCAGTAGTGAGTAGGTTAGTCAGTTTAAAAAAGAAAAGGTTGTCTTTGCCATTTGCCAATGGCAGTATGTGGGTTTTTTCGAAGTATAAAAACTAAAGATCGATTCTCTCATTCAATTATCCTTGAGTAAGAGTGAACATCTTTTGGTGAAGATGAATTTTTGATTTCAAATCTCGTATATATGTCTAACACATGCATATTTAGATGAAAAAATAAATCATCTGTCTTTACATATATGAGGAAAAAAACGATATTATGTCTGGTATCTTTCCTTCTTCTGCTCCAAAGTTTACAATGAATAAAACATTAATTATATTTATTAAGAAACATGATTTATTATTTAAACTACAATTAAATTTGCCTTTTTTTGTAATTCTGTTTGCCAGTTTGTTATGTATAGATGATGATTACATAATGAATATTAGACAAAATTATATACTGGGAAATAGTCAATATATAATGTCAATTATATGCACCTGTTCTGTTTTTCTTTATTTTATATTATACGTTTAAGCACAGTTGAAATGTGGATACAGGTAGTTCAATCAGTAATTAACCTTGACCGTGTCAAAAAAATCGACAGTAATAGTTTAGATTTTTCTCTTTACAGAACAATTAACAGCAGCAGTTTATTAGTGTTGAGTTGTCTTTCATTACATAACCTTGTTCTTCTCTAAACGACAGTAATATGAGCATTTATTTATTTATTTGTTTTGACAACATTAATTACACGGTTCTCACAGATGGCATTTTGGATCATATCTATCTTCATACTTCACACACATGATCGCAATAATAATAACATAACAGAATATAGTGCATTACTTCTCTCTCTCTCTCTCGCTCTAGTTGTTATTTATTTCATCACGTCGACAAAGCTCTGTTAGTTCATTCCAGTTTCAGTGTTATACAATCGTTATTTAAATTTAAAACCACAGAATCACATATTACTTCACAAAAAATTTAGACTACAACAATAATAATCACTTGGATCTAACCAACTGTAACCATATCGCATCATTGTAGTTTCTCTATTTCAAAACCAACACAACCATATGTATTGATAATCGATCTAATAAATTATAAAGTGTCAAACAGAAAAAACAACTAACAAATTTGTTATAAAGAGGGAGATACGATACGAATTAAAAATTAAAACCGTGATGTTCTGTCTTTCTCCCCTCTCTCTCTCTCTCTCTCTCTCTCTTTGTCGTTCTGTCTATCTTATCTTTATGGTCAAAAAGATTTGTCTATATTTTTTATCATTTGTTTTGTTTTCGGTCAAGCTCTTAAGTAAAGTTCACTAACTGACTATTTTTGTCTCTATATACGTTGAACACAACGTTAATCAACGCACAAACAGCAATAATTCATCAATGAAGTGTACATATATTGAAAATGACTTTTACTAATCCTACATGCATGTTCTATATAGTGTTTGACTTTCTATCTATCTACCGAAGATGATGATGAGTAATAGTCCTAAGGGTAAAATTGTCACTCAAACACACACAAGTAAAACTGATTAATTTTTTCTTTTCTCAAAAAAGAAAAGATTTCAACAAAGTTATGTGAAATCCGTTCGTTATATTAAATGGATCATATTAAATAAATACCACATACACACTGTTTATTTGCGTCAAATAAAGTCACGTCAACTTGTTTTAAATAAATAATTATGAGAAACCGATTAGATTGTTAGTATAGTTAAAAGAGAGTAGCACAATGATTTGAACTTTATTTTTATATTGATAAGTATTCTTTTCTCCCAAGGCGCACACAAAAGTTAACACGATCAATTTTGACAGCATCTAATAACTCAACCATCACAGTTATTTAATAATATTTTAGAACATGCAAAATATTCATAGTCAAATAAAATGTATGTTTATTGAATTTGAGTATGATGAATTCATAGTATAGTCTAAAAATATACGAGTTCTAATACGATAAAATTAAGAAGTAATCCATATAATAATATCCTCTATTGTTTTTTCATTAATCAATTTACAGAATTTTAATTATTAAATGTGTTTACATAATTTGCACATACTTTAAATATTAGAATAATCATAGATGAATTAAACATTGAATAAGTGTCAATGAATTGATGATACTAAACATAAGAATTCTTAGTGGGAAATAATTTTTTAGACATAAGTTGGAATAAGTGTTCATACTCTATTATCTGTATCTACTATCGTTGTGTATACTTGTATGTGTATTTTTACCGTTTACATAGTTCAAAGTTAATGACCAATATATATATATATATATATATATTTGCTATCATATAGAAAACACTTGAAACTTCAATAAAAATATCTTGAGGTGGGTTATAACCTCGTTATCTCTATGTCTCTTGAGAAGGTTAAAAGACAAATATTAATAGAAGAAGACCGATATACCGGACAAATAGAACAGTAATTTCATTACGAAATATCTTTATTACATGCATTAACTCATCAACGGAGTTCTCAGATATTTCTAATCAAACACAATCATTTATTGATTTCTGATGAAAGAAGAAATAATAAAATGTTGAGAATTTCTGAGAAAAATCGTTTTTTATTGTTTGATTGAGTAAACTTAATGGACTTTTCGAGTACTTCCTATCAGATAATTCTGATACTTTAACTCAAGCTAACATGTATTCATTAGAAAATTTCCAGAAAAAACCGCGTTCGAACGGATTACACTTTCAAATATTACACGTAGTCATATTTCTACCGAATGATAACAATTTATATCACATTAAATATGATTGCCAAAAGCTTTAGGGTATTCCTGTCTTATTGCATCCTGCAACAGACAAAAGTTTGCCAGCGTTACTCCTCTGGAGCAAAAAGTGTGAAAACTTCCGTGACCTTTTCTAGGAACTTGTAGTGCTATTGAAATTGTTTGATGTAAGTACCGGAGATGGTTTTTTAAATATATAGGTAACGATATTAACGTATTTTTATTGAAATGTGAAACTATGAAATGTGGCGCAAAAAAATTCATTATAATGATATTTAACTTTTACTATCAGTTTAGTTTTGAACTGATGTTTGACCTATATTTAAATTTTTTAATTTTTTTCTTCAATAAAGAATAATTAAATTCTTTTTTTCCTGTCTAATGTAAGAAATCGTATACACATTTGATCAGAAGATTTTTCATATGTATTAATGGAGAATACGTTTAAGAACATTAAGGCGGAATACAATGGCACCATCATGCAAGAATGGTTAACTTGTTCATGGTGTGAAACAATACATCCGTCTAGCAGTTGTTGGAGAGCTAAAAAAGAACATTGTACCGATCATGAAGTTAGATGAAGTGTTATATGAGAAATGTTATAATTTCGAACCAGACGATGAAGTACCTTTCCGTTCATTGAAAAATAAAAATAAAAATTCTTTATGACTACCGGATATTCCACTAAAAAAAGTGGCACAAGGTAAGCAAGTGCAAATACCATTCATAACAGGTTATGTTATTCGGCTGACGAATATAACGGCAAATGATAATTCATCCTATTATTACTGTGATGTAGTTAGTAAAGAAAAAATCGGATTTCATTTAATGAACTTTTTATCGAATGGTACAACGAACTCAGGTTTATATGATAAATTACAAAATGCACTAAGACAAAAATATGGTGTAAAAAAATAACGAACCTCAAATAAGATCCAAATAATAAATATTTTCTAGCTAGTAATAGTCACACGATGGAAAAAAAATCGCAAGAAAAACCGTAAAATCCATAACCATCGAAAAAAAAATGTGTAGAAGAACCATGAAAACCGTAAAATGCAAAAGTATAAAAGAAAAACTATGGAAGTAAAATCGTAAAGGTAAAACCATAGAAACAAAACCGTCCACTTTCGAACCGTCGAAGAAAAACCGTAAAATAAAACCGTTAGTTTAAGAACTGTACAATTAAAACCATGAAAGATATCGTAAAGGTCAAACTGTAGAAATAAAATCATGAACTGACAGTTTGTAAAAGGAAAACAATAAAAACAAAAGCCTGAAGAGGAAAATT